CTCTGCCCTTACCAGGGACAATCCAGGTCTCCTCTCACCATGGAGCCCAGAGCCCTCCCTGGCCCATGACTTCATCATGGCATACTTCTCTGAGGGGGTTTGGAGGTTCAGGGACCTTTTTGGCTACTCTGAAATGAGATACAATGAGCCTTGGTGGCACTGTGGGTTAAGTGATGGACTGCTAACTGCCCAGTCAGTGGTTCAAGCCCGGCAGAAGAGTGATGAGGCTGCCTGCTCCCATGAAGCTTTACAGTCTCGGGCACCCTGGGGAGCAGTTCTCCTCTGTCCTGCCGGATGTCTGTGAGGAGGAATGGACCTCAAGGCAGTGGGCTTCTTAGGTGCAGTGAGCTCCACATGCAGAGGCCAGGTCCCTGCTTCTTGGGCAGCGGCTGCACTGGGTGGGACACCAGTGCCTTTTGGCGCTCGCTTCCTGGAACACCCCCGGTCTGGGAGCAGCTGTGCCTCAGCCTTGGGCTCTCAGAGATTGCCACTCCAAATGTCTGCTTCTGTTTTTGTTCTTGTGGCAAGCATGGTCGAGCAGCTGTGGGTGGGTTATGATCCGGGCCTTGAGGATGCTCAGAGGAATGAGAAAACCAGCTGAGCACACACAGGATCCTTGGCAGAGTAGCCAAGGTCAGTGCAGGGCCCGAGGGAAAGGACAGATCCTCCCAGGGAGCCTAGGCACGTCTTAGCTGAGGTGACATCTGCTCGTGTTCACTTGTGAGGAAGTGTGAACCCATGAGTATGTTTGGAGACTGATTACAGTAGTATGACTAGGGGTAATGGCCTAGATCTTCAGGGGAGACAATGGGGAGACGGACTGAAAAGACAGCTGCAACCAAGCGAAGGGAGCTGGAATCCCCATCTCTGTGAGTTGAACGGTATCCCCAGGTAGCTTTCGCCAAAGCTTTAATGAGGGACTGACGGGATGATGGCCCGAGCTGGCCCTGCCTTCTAGTGACCATGCCACTGACTGAGGGGAGGGGTGCATCTGAGAGGCGGGAGCTGGGACAGCTGGTGGTGTCTGGAGCTTTCAGGGAGCTCCCCGGGAATCAGTGTGAACTCTGGGTGCAGGGCTCAGAACTGTGACCGGAGGGTTTAGATGGTAGAGAGCCAGTCTACAGAGTATCTGTGCGGGAAGAGAAAGACCAGGAGACGGAGGTACATCAGAGAATCCAGCTGGAAAGGATGGTGGGGTTCTGTGATCTGCGTTTGGTCAGGGAGAGAGCATGGAGAGCTCAGGCAGAGGCTGCTCTGAAACCACGGTGAACCCCTCTGCAGCTCCCCAGGGTCGCTGAGAACTTGTATGGGGAAGCCAATGCCCTGTTTCTCTTTTTACAAGAAAGAAAAAAAATGGTGTTTGTAGACATGAGCTACTGAGAGCGTTCTGTCTGAACAGAGTATGGTCTGATCTTTGATACTTGTTGGCAGCTCTACAGGCTTCTTCGAGTAGCAGAGCTTCTTCTTATTCTAGCAGCATGGAGACGTAGCTCGTTCTCGCCAAAAGTCGTGTGCTATGTGGACTTGGTTAGACTAAGGCCTTTTAATCTAAACACCTGTTAGTATACACGGTGAGCCCACATCTTGTGTCCATCTCAGCTATGCATGTCCTGGGAGAGGAGGCAAGATGTGTGTAGGGGAGGGGGATGCTTGCTGTACTTGATGGGAAGACAGCTTTCCCTCTGTCTCTCAGTGCTCACAGACCTCCGAGTGCCACTGAACCTCCAAGTGGATGATGAATCTGGTAGTTAAAGAAATGTTTGTGCATTTTTTCCTTTGTGTACTTGTTGAGTGCCAAGAATCAACTCGACTCCAAGACATAGCACCCTGTAGGGTTTTCGAGGAACAGCTGGTGGATTTGAACTGCTGACCCTGTGGTTCACAGTCCAGTGCAGATCCGATAGAACCATGCCAGGAGTCCTTTGTATACTTTTGTTGTTGTTGTTGTTAAGTGCCGTCGAGTCGGTTCCAACCCATAGCGACCCTGTACAGGGTTTCTGAGGCTGTAAATCTTTATGGGCATAGAAAGCCTCATCTTTCTCCCGTGGAGTGGCTGGTAGTTTCGAACTGCTGACCTTAAGGTTTGCAGCCTGATTCGTAACTACTACGCTACCAGAGCTACTATGTTGTTGTTGTTAAGTGCCTTCGAGTCGGAGTCGACCCATAGCGACCCTGTACCCCCTAAAAATAAGCAGCAAGGAGTCTTACAGAGTCTTGGTGGTGTAGTGGTTAAAGCACTCGACTGCTGACTGAAAGGTGGGTGTTTCAAACCCACTAGCCGCTCTGCAGGAGAAAGACAGCATTTGGTAGTCTGCTTACATACAGATTTACAATCTTGGAAACCTGATGGTCAGTTCTGCTCTGTCCTGTAGGGTCGCTCTGGGTCAGCGTTGACTCAGCAGCAGGGGGTTTAGTAACATAACCAAAGAGCCCTGGTGGCACAGTGGTTGAGCTCTTGGCTGCTAACCACAGGGTTAGTGGTTTGAACCTAGCATCTGTTCTGTGGAAGAAAGATGAGGAGTCTCATTCAAGACTGTCGTCTTAGAATCCGTACGGGCCTTCTCTGTCCTGTAGGTCACTGTGAGTTGTAATTGCCCCGACAGTAAGGGCTTTGTTTTATGGAGACATAAACAGGCTACTTGATCTGATATACATAGAAATGGCAATCTGTTCTGATACAGAAGGAAAGAAACTGCCCTGGTGTGATGCTGTAGGATAAGCAATGGACTGCTAACTGCTAGGTTGGTGGTTCAAAGCCACCAGCCTCTTCTCAGAAACCCTATCCTGGGTCGCTATCAGTTGGAACCAACTCAACAGCACTTAACAACATCTTTCTAAGGGGAGCATGGTAGTTCCATAGGATAAGCACTGGACTGTAAACCACAAAGTCAGCAGTTGGAGCCCACCAGCTGCTCTGTGGGAGAAAGATAACACTTTCTGCTCCCGTAAAGTATTTACAGCCTTGGAAACCATGTACAGTGTCACTATGAGTTAAAACTAAATCGATGCCACTTAACAACAAAATCTTTGTAAGAGACTTTTGGGTACTTTTGACAATACACGGTTTTCCCCTTACATGAAGACTTCAGACTCTAGCGTTCATGTAAGCTTTGTTGTTTTAAGTACCGTCGAGTTGAGGAGTGAGTGGTGAGCTTGAACCGCTGACCATGCGGTTCAGACAACCTTGTGGCCCAGTGCCTATCCCACAGTGCCACACCAGCCTCCCTAATTAGATACCAGTTGCCGTCTAGTTGAGTTCCATTCATGGCAATCCCATGTGTTACGGAGCACAAGTGCTCTTCTGGGAGCAGATCATCAGGACTTTCCTGGCTGGAATTGAACCACCGACCTTAATCCTTTGTGCCACCCAGTTGTTGTTAAGTGCTGTCAAGTCAGTTCCGACTCATGGTGACCTTGTATAGGATTTCTGAGGTGTGCCTGGTGAGCTTGAACTGCCTACCTTGCTGTTCAAACCGACCTTGCAGTCCAGCCTATTTACCCAGAGTGCCACACCAGGACTCCGTCTGGTGCCTCCTGGAGACTTCATTAACTAGATACACACATAAGTGAAATCAGCCGTCTCTGTCATTCTTTGCAGGAAACCCTAAAATATTTAGGAGAAAGGACCACAAGAGGTGCAAAAAATGTTCCAGCCATCCCTTCCACAGCCTGTTCTGCTTCTCAGGTGGGCTCGAGCATTGCGGGAGTGACCATACAGAACTTGGGCTTAATTAGCCAAGTGAATGGGTTACAGTTCCGGGTCAGAAATGTTCCAGTCTGGACCGCCTCTCCTCACCGTGCCCACAGGCAGGCCTCTGCCCTGCCACAGAGCTCTTTGTGGGCTGCCCCAGCTGTGGGTGTGAGTTGATTGTAAGGTAAAAACTTGAAACTCTAGCCTGGGTATAAGTGAGCCATCTCAGAGGCAGGAGGGAGGCTCTCACAACCATGGAAGAAGAAGAGCCTGGAGTGGACTGTGTCTTTTGGACCTGAGGTCCCTGTGCAACACTGAAGGAGCGATCTAGAGCAGGTTCAGGAGCCAGAGCACCAGACAGAAGAGTGGGTCTCCCAGCCCAGGGCGCAAGTCCAGCAGAGGGAGTTTGGGCAGAAGCCTTGCTTACAGAGTGGGGTGCTTATAAACACTTAATCGGGGAGCTAGGCTTGCTGGCCCAGGGAGCTTGAGTCAGGGGTCTTCAGGCCGAGGCTTCTGGTGGAGTGCTGTGTTCTGTGGGCACTAATGAGCAGCCTTGAAGGAGCTCTGTAGCACTGAGCGGGCCAAAGAGGCCTGCCTGTGGGCACGGCCGAGGAGAAGCTGTCCTGACTGCAGCAGCTGGGCCCTGAGCATTTCTGAGCCTGACTGTAACCTGGTAATGTCCCTAGTAAAGCCCATGACTGTCAGTATAGTGTGTGACTCCTGTGTGCTCATTGCAAGGAATTATCGAACCCAGCAGGAATGGTGCGTCCTGTGAGACGGATGGTTTGCTGTCATTTGTTGCAACATGCTGCCAGCGTCTCTGAGTCAAAACTAAGGAAGAAGAAAGTGTAGCAGTACCCATAGTTTTCACCCATGACAGGTAGTTCTTGGACTAGAGCAGAGTCCGTTCAATGGCTTGCCTCCCATTGGATTTAAACAAGCATACTCCACGTCGCATCTTCTTGATACCTGCCTCACCCTCATCCCCCATAATCATCTCTCCAGCAGTCCAGGGCCTGTGTTACCTGCAAGACCCGGGAGTGGACTCGTGGAGAAAGGGTTCCTAACGTTGTGGCTCAAAGTCACTGTTGCCACTGTGTTCCTGGTACGGTGTGCGTGGACCACACAGAGCAACAGTCTCTTCAGCAGTGTCGGCTGATGAGTTGTGCTGTTGAGTTTCAGCATAGAATTAGAGATCAGTGTGCTTCCCTTTTCCTGTTATATACATATTCCCTATGGCCCCAGCCAGCGTGGAAGTGCCTTGATAAATACTGTTCCTTTTGTTTTGTGTCATTTTCTTTTTCTGTAGAGCTTTCATTGTTGAGGTTCCTCAGTGCTGAACTAACAAGAGGGTACTTCCTCGAACATAATGAGGCCAAGTACACAGAAAGAAGAGAAAGAGTATACACTTGTATGCGAATACCAAGAGAATTGGAAAAGGTACCTGTTTTTATTTCATTACCTGACATCATTTGAAAGTTAATGTCAAAGTGTTAATTATGCAAATCAAAACAAAACAAGCACTTGTACAAAAGCTTGAGTTAAGTGTTTTGGATATTGGAAATTGATCATCAATACTTACTTGTATTGGGGGTTAGGAGCAGAGTCCTGGTAATGCTGTGGTTAAGCGCTCAGCTGCTAACCACAGAGTTGGCGATTCAAACCCATAGGGTCTCCACAGGAGAACGATGCAGCAGTCTGCTTCTGCAAAGATTAAACCCAAACCCAGTGCCATCCCGTCAGTTCTGACTTGTAGCCACACCGAGACAGGCAGTGTGTACTGGAGTAGAAAGTCTCATCTTTCTCCCACGGAGCAGCTGGCGGGCTTGAACTGCCAACCTTTTGGTTAGCAATACAGTGCTTGTCTTACAGCACCACCAGGGTGGTGGAAGGAACTCTTACTCCCTATAGCCGTTGCCATGGAGTCAATTCCAACTCCTAGCAACCCTGCAGTAGAGGGCAGAAGTGCCCCATACGGTTTCCCAGGCTGTTCCAGTCTGGCCTGTCGGGTCACTAGAAGTTGGACTCAACTCCAGGGCAGTGACTGCAGGGAACAGGGAAAGGCTTTTAGAGAATTCCCGTTTACCTATGAGAAGGGTCCAGTGATTAATATTAATGTTCTTGTTGACATTTGTTGTCATTTCCTACTTATCACCTTGCTCCTTCTTGAACTTACCCTATTTCCCTTTGTACCCCATCCAAATATGAGAAACTCTTACCAAGGAATTAATCTCCACTTCTGTACTCTTCATTCTCTTCAATTTTGTGTACTAGAAGCAGGTGTGTTTGGGGTTTTTGGGTTTTTTTTTTCTCATTCTGCATGAGAAATTATTTCATTTCAGCTTTTTCTTTAAGATTTCAATTTCTCAGAAAGCTCACATATTTACAAGCCTCAGTGAGTCTCTTGAAAGAAAATGTTGATTTCTATGTAACCTTCACTAAAGGAACATCAGAGTAAACCCCATATCAGCAGCACTAAAACTGTGTGTATCTCTTCCCTGAGTGTGTCTTGGCCTTCCGAGACCCATCACTCGTCTCCTTGTGCATTGCTAGAGTCTGAGCAATTCTGAAATTTCTTACTTGAAGGAAAGTATTAAAAACAAACCCAGCTCTAGCCGTATTGAAGCATCTTGTGTATGGAATCTTGCATGCCTTCACTCATTTCCTTAGAACCATGCTTTTGATTAGCATGGACACGGGAAGAGTCTTGTTGGTTGGTTTCCTTTCTCCGGGTGTTGTCAGAGCAGAGTGTGGCAGAGAGGGAGAAGTACGCCCAGCTGGTTTGCCTGATCGTTTAGTTATCAAATCCCATCAGATTAAAGGAAAGAAGAGGGCCGGATACAGAGGGTCAATTTCAGAAATGTTGCTTAACATCAATTCTTGGTGGAATGTCACCTGCTGAGATTTTAGGGAGTTCTGTATTAGGGTGAGAGTTAGGAAATTAGTAAGCAGATATCCAAGAGAGAACAGAAGTGAAAATGAAACTAAGATTAAACTTGCCTACTTGTTATTTTCCATCACTCACTTGTCAGTTTGTCATCCTGTGGTGACTTGTGTGTCACTGGAAGTTTATGTCACCATAGTTTCCAGTAATAGTAGGATCTCCCGGGGTGGACAGTTTTCAGCAGAGCTTCCCGACCCAGACAGACTAGGGATATGAAAGAGGCAGGTGTCTCCTGAGGGGTCAGCCCCTGGACACCTTGTGACTAACAGCAGGACAGTGACTGATAGAGAACCGGAAGTTGAGCCCCTCTACCACAGGGGGCTCAAACATAACAGCCGTTGTGAGATGGCACAGGACCGGTAGGGTTTGGCTCTGTTGTACCTGGGAGGGTCGCTAGGACTCAGAGCCAACTTGACAGCACCAACAGCAGTTATTTTCCTGCTGCAACTCAGGAGGAACCTAAGGGATGAGGAGGGTGCAGGAAGAGCCTGCAAGATGAGAGGGAGAAGAGACCCAAGGACTGGATGGTCTTCCACAGCACAGCAACCTTCCCGACAAGGATTTACCTCCAACCCGCTGAGTGAAACTTGATGGGCGCATCCTGGGGACAGTTTCCAAACGGGGGTGGTGGTGGCTTCTGACCATTCTGCTCACTTCACCTGGAGCAGAAGTAAGGAGCAGTGACGACATTCACATGATGCTCTTCTCTCACCAGATATAGGTTGCAATCAGTAATGGTTATATTTCAGGAAACTTTGAATGCATTTGTGTTTGATATCAGAAGAGTTGCATTTATGGGAATCTTCAACTACCAAAGATTGGTGATTGGAAACCCCTTCCTCCTTCCCTCCCTCCCTCCCTCCACCTCCAGAGGCCAGGTATTGTGCTTCCAAAAGGGCACAACCTGAAAAATCATATAGAGCTTCTACTCGGCACACCTGGGGCCGCCATGGGTCCGAAATGACTTGGTAGCAACTAGCAACACAGTGCACATTTGTACTAATTTATTCATTCTCTTGTTACCTGTGAAAGAAGCTTTTGGCTATAGGTCTATTTAGGAAAATTTGATTTAGTATCTGAGAACAATACTTCAAAAGGTTTAAACTTAAAGATGTATCCAAAAAAAAAAAAAGACTTTTTTAGTGTAGAGCAATTTTTTTCTTAAATTCTAAGACCTGCTTAAATGTAGATTAAAACAGAGTTAGTTTTCAGTTAAAATCTGATCATACCAGAAAGACGTTTACATATGTTTTATAGACTGTGGATCATAAGAAATTATGGCTAAGGTTGCGAAGAATGGGAATTCCATAATGCTCAGTTGTGCTGATGAGCCTGTACTTAGATCAAGGTGCTTTCATTCAAACAGAACAAAGCGCTCCTGCATGGCTTACAGTTAAGAAAGGTGTGTAGCATAGTTGGACTCTTTCACCATAGTTAGTCTGTATGCTGAGCAAACAATATACGAAAAGCTGGATGACATAAAAGAAGAACACAATATCAGATTTGGAGGAAGAATCATTAACTTGTGATATGCAGATAACACAACTTTTATGAAAGGGAAGAGGACTTGAAGCACTTACTGATGAAGCTCAAAGACTACAGCCTTTGTATGGATTAAACCATATCATAAAGAGAACAATTCTTAGGAGGTATTTACGTTTGCTGCAAACATATTCATGAATGTGGTGGAGCATACCGGGGATGAAGTTAAGAATTCATAGGCGTTATCAAACATCTTGAAAGAATGAATTGCTGAGCCTGGGGCTACAGGACCATAGTCTCAGGAATACTATGTTCAGTTGGCATACCTTGGTCCAAAAAGACAATGTTCTACATCCTACATTGGTGAGTAGCCACTGGGATTTTAAAAGCTTGTGAGCAGCTATCTAAGATGCAACTATATTGGTCTCTACATGTCTGGAAAAAAGGAAGGTGATGAATATTGAAGATACTTGGAAACTATTAGTCCAGAGAACTAATGGACCATGTGGACATCAATCTCCATGACCCTGAGACCAAAAAAAATTAGATGGTGCCTGGCTACCACTACCAGTTGCTCTGAAAGGGGTCACATTAGAAGGTCCTGGGTAGACTGGGAGAAAAATGTGAAACAAAACTCAAAATCATAAAAAAGACTAGGCTGACTGATTAGCTAGAGACTGGTTGAACCCCAGAATACTGCCATTGGTCACCCTTCAAGTCTAGAAATGAATTCACTCGTGACTTAATCTTCAGGCAAGCAATAGGGGAGACAACAATACTAGTGAGGTACGCACACCATTGAGTGGTCAACCATTTGCGATTCAAAGGACATATTTACCTAAGCACAAAAGTCAGAGGGCTGGGGTAAGGAGGAATGGAAACAAGAAACACAGGAAGGAAGTGGGACAAGTCCGCAGTCTTTACGATGAGGCAAAGGGTATGGTGTGCTGAGTATGGAACTGATGGTCTGCTCGGCAAACCTTCACTCAGTTCACAATAAAAAGTTAAAAAAAATCCTCACAACTGAGCCAATAGGCAACATCATATTAAATGAAGAAAGGATTGAAGTTGCTGCAGATTTTGCTTTACTTGGATCCCCAATCAATCATCAGAGAAGCAATAGTCAAATCAAATAGCCTGCCCAAGTGATCTACAACTATAATGCACTCTTGATCCAAATCCCAACACTTTCTTTAATGAGATGGGAAACTCATTTGTATGGAAAGGAAAGAGGCCCCAATTAAGCAAAGCATTACTGAAGAACAAAATAGGAGGCATCTCATTCATCGATCTCAGAACCTACTACACTGCCAGGGAAGTCAAAAGAGTCTACTCGTTGTATAATGACAAACTAAGGGCCCAGAAGTAAACCCACCTAGCTATGGATGGGTTTCACTGCTCGTCTGTCAGTTGTCGTACTGTATTGGCATGTATGTTGCTGTGATTTTAAATACCAGGAGGCTCACCCATGATGGACAGGTTTCAGCAGAGCCTCCTGACTAACACAGACCAGGAAGGAAATGAGGTGGACCACTTTGAATGGTTAGCCACTGCCACTGTGTGGATACCAGCAGCACATTGTCAGATACAGTGCTGGAAGATGAGCCTCTCAGGTTGTAAGGCATCATAATACCACTGGGGAAGAGCTGCCTCCTTAAATTAGAGTTGACTAAATTGACATAAATGGAACAGAGCTTTTGAGACCTTCATTTTCTGATGTGGCACCAACTCAAAATGAGAAGAAACAGTAAGAAAAATTCATTAGTAATCCAAAAGTGGAATGTATGAAGTATTATTCTAGGAAAACTAGAAGTAATCAAAAATGAAACAGAATGCATAAAGATCAGTATCCTAGGCATTAGTGAGCTGAAACAGACTGGTATTGGCCATTTTGACTCCATGAGTCGTACGGTTTAATGTGCTGGGAATGGTAAATTGAAGTATCATTTCTCTTCAAAAAGAGCATTTCAGGATCTTTCTTGAAGTACATTGCTGCCGGTGGCAGGGTAACGTC